GTGGCTTCTAGATCGAGAGGTATTACTACCACTCTATATGACTCTGGTGTGCCCGCAACTGGAGTATTATGCTCAGTTTTGGGCCCCTCATTACAGAAAGGATATAGCCAGGTTAGAGTTAGTCCAGCGTAGGGCCACAAGGTTGGTGGCCAGTTTGCAGGGGATGGGGTATGAGGCAAGACTGAGGGAATTGGGTCTCTTCAGCCTGGAGAAGACTGAGAGGGGATCTGTTGGCGACATACAGGTATGTGAGAGGATGTCACATGGAGATGGGTAGAGACCTGTTCTCTCCTGCAGAGGAAGGCAGGATGCACTCCAACGGAGCAAAGCTCAGGGAACCAAGGTTCCATTTAAATGCCCGGAAGCACTTCCTGACAGTTAGGACCCCGAGGGTGTGGAATGGGCTTCCATGAGAGGTCGTTGAGGCCCCATCGGTGAGGGTGTTCAAGGATAGGCTGGACATGCACATGGTGGGCATGTCATGAGCGGAGCCGGCTGGTGCTGGAGGTCAGACTAGATGGCCCAGGAGATCCCTTCTGACTGGCTCTGTTTCTATGTTTCTCTTTAACCTTCCTGTGCATCTGACTTTTGACAGTGAGTTTCTTGATGGTGTTAATACTTACGCATGTTTAACCAGTTTTAATGGCATAATTTAATTCAAGAAATGTTGGTATATATTTTATAGTTGGCGCTGGGCAATGTAATAAGTGCACTGGGAGATAAGAGCAAGAAAGTGACCCATGTACCATACAGGGATTCAAAATTAACACGACTTTTGCAAGACTCTCTTGGAGGAAACAGGTACAGACAAATATTTATTGAACGTGTTGGCTAAACCATGTTTGGAAGAGATGAAACAACAACTTTTTTTTGCCTTTGCTGAGGCCAAAATATATTACGATGCAATGAAATAAAGACCGCACTAGATTTAAATTGATTTTATATATATCTGGAGTAAAAGACTTCTACCTCAATTTTTCTACCCCAATGGAGGATGGAAAAACCTTTTGGCACAAAATGTCTTTTTACTCTGTTTGATCTGGGATATGATGTGGCCCCAAAACTAGAAAAGGAATTGTCAGTTTATTCTTTTAAGAACTCAGTAGAATTAACAGAAAATCTTCATGTTAACTTCATGCTAATGAAAACAAGCTAAGTACAGTGAAGTAGTTGATCTGCTTAGAGCAATACTTCCTTTGTCCCTTTGAGAGAGGCGGTAATATAGTTATGCTTTGATTTGGTTGAATTGTTAAAGCTCTGGGTTGTTGTTTTTTCCACTAAAGTCTTCAAAAACAAGACAATCTAAGTGTTGCAATTTCACTCAGTGATGCATTAGCTGTGAAGGTGTAATAGTTTCACAGTTCTTTAAGTTGAGAGATGTAGATAATGTGCAGTTGACAGATCTTCTGACTGTGCTACTTTGCAAACAAGTTTACAAAGGAATAGCATTGGGATACATGGGATACATGCACTCAAGTCCCTGGCGACTCCACCAATACAAATAAAACTGACTGTAGAGCTGTTAAGTTCAAATGCCCCTTTGAATACAGTGCAAATGAAGAAATCCAAAAGGTCCTCTTCAACCTGTCTGAACACATGAGAGTCAGCTGCATACGCAGAATCCTCAAAACCCTGAAATAAAATGCCAATTCAATTGTATATACATGAATTCATCAACCCCCCCCCCCCCAAAACACACATGTAGGAATTTTACCTAACCAAATCGGCAAGGGCCTTAGTGGCAACTACAGCTCCTACCTCTTCAGATCTCCCTCTCTTTTTGATTTGAATTTCTTACAGCCCGCTCTTTCCTATTTCCACCCCTTTGGGCTGAACCAATATTTCATAGGGTTACACTTGCACTGCAGAGGATTCTGATTAGAAACAAGCCTCAGCAGTACCACTCAGAATGCAAAACAAATTCATACTGTCTGTGATACTCTTAGATTATTTTTAAAACAAAAGTTTGACGCTGCTATTAAACTAAACTGAAGCAAGATGGGATTCCTGCTTTAGATGAGCCATAATATATTTTTGTTATGTTCAATATGCATAAAACCCAGTGCAGTGTAAAATGTACAGACATACACACATGAGTCTTTTTGCTCTTGCAGCTAAAAAGATAAGAGCTAGGGAGTCTTTGAAGGGGACACTGTCCTGAATCACAGCTGATCCATCTTTTATTATTATGTTTTAATATGTTTGATTTATGGTTTTATTTGTTAATTCAGTGTTTGACCTTGCAAATTTGTAATGGCCTATGGCTAAAGACAATAAACTGACTGACTGACTGACTGACATACACACATGATACAAAATGGTGAGCTGGCAGTACCAGAGACTGATAAAAACAGGAAGAAATATGTAGATGTAGACTAGAGCAATGTACAGTGCACAGGGGCACATCTTGGTGACTAAATTCATGAAGTGATATTGCAATATCTAATTATGGATTGTCACCTAGATATTTGCAATCTGTGCTTAAATGTGGATAATATTTTAATAAATGGCATTTCTGGCTACATGCAAAGTAATCTTCTGTTGTCCATATGTTTTCACTTCAGTTGCCTTCTATGTTTGAACATTGCTATGGAGAAGATATTTTGCTAAATGTATGCTCTGCACTGCTTGAACCTATTATGGATATGATCTTCTTTTAAATAGTTTAAGAGAATTTGTGTTGCAGGTCTCAGCTGCCCTTCAATGGCTTTTATAAGGAAATCAAATTAGGTGGCCAGTTTTTATCTCCAGCTGAAGGCAGAGCTCATCACTTGATATTGTTGTGCTTTTTGTGTGTGCATGTGTGCAGCTGTATGCAACATCTTGCGCTTTTAACATTCTGTGCAGTATGCCCAAAAGAGAGATATTCTGGCAGTAGCAACTGGGGGAAAATAGTTGCTGGATACATTTTCCATATTGTCTTTGGGAGTCAATCAAAACAGCTTTTTAATCTCTGGGTAAAAAAGTTAATACGTTGTCCTTTGTGTTTATTATATAGCAGCAGCTGGTACATTACTGCTTATTTTTGGAGTTGACCTCCAATGATTAAACTGGACTGTGTTTAACCTGCAGCCAGACCGTCATGATTGCATGTGTAAGCCCTTCAGACAGAGATTTCATGGAGACACTGAACACTTTAAAATATGCAAATCGGGCACGAAACATCAAGAACAAAGTGATGGTTAATCAGGACAGAGCTAGCCAGCAAATTAATGCCCTGCGAAGTGAGATCACTCGGCTTCAGATGGAACTCATGGAATACAGAACGGTAATATTTGGGGGCATTTATTGTATAGATTTTTTTTTCCAGTAGGATGTGGCCATTTATTTTTCTGTGGTGTATTATTCTGTAAATAATTACACTTTGCAAATTCATGTGTGTTCTCCCCCTGCTTTGTTTGAATCATTTGTTATACATACCATGACTTTTTAAAGCCAACAAAACTTTGAAATTTGCCAGTGGCTCCTTTGTTGGAAACGTAAGTAGTCTGTTTGTAAATTAGCCACATATTCCATACGTGGAATGCCTCCCTGCATTGCAATGAAGGAGGAGACACTCTAAAAAAAAATCAAAATCTTTTTTTAAAGATTTTTAAGAGTAAAGTATTTTAAAGAGATTTTAAATTCAAAAAGACATGTGCATATAATTAAATATCTGACCCGTATGAGGACTACCAATACAATACATAGCATCCAAAATTTAGGAAGCAAACTATTTTTCAACTATTATTGTTAGAATTGGATGACCTAATAGTTGTAAAAAAAGGATTACCTCCTAAATTGTTATTGATAATAAAATGTACAAAATATTAGCATAGCATACAAAAAGTTGAGAGAATTTGACTGGAATGCAAAGAGGCATGGGCCCAAACCTTCCACAATTGCCTTTTTAGCTGCAGTTCCTCATATAGGTCTCAAAATATTTAATTTCTCCATACATGGTAAATATTTGTTCTTGGACATTCTGAGCACCTTCCTATGACAGGCTGAAATGGAGGTTTGTTTCTGAAGCATATCTCTGGATGGATGCTTTTTATCTCTGGTTTTTGCTTGGGGTAAAATAATGAGAACACTTCACAGCTGTGTGAACTGTGATCAGTGTATACCTTTGCATTAAACATTTGATTTGGTCTTGGGAACTAGCTAGAATAGTAAATTGAGAGGCATCTCACATTCCAGTACAAATCTTGCTAAATTAGCTCTTGGTGATTGAGACAAATAATTATATTTATCTTCTTGTAGGGTAAAAGGATTATTGATGAAGAAGGTGTGGAAAGCATTAATGACATGTTTCATGAAAATGCAATGCTACAAACAGAAAACAACAACCTGCGAGTCAGGATAAAGGCCATGCAGGAGACTATTGATGCATTGAGAGCCCGAATCACACAGCTTGTGAGTGATCAGGCCAACCAGGTCCTTGCCAGAGCAGGTAATGTGTACTGTTATCACTGAAAATTGCTGTATAGGTGGTAGGAACTCCTAGTTATTCAGCAGGATAAAGGAAAAATTGGATGTTACAGCATTTGTGCAATTACATGATTAGTGTTTTTAAAGTAAATGGTAGAGATTAGAGAGACCCAGGAAGTATATGGAGTTGCTGAATCTCTTCAGGATAATTACAGAAGCATTAGGAAATGTAAGTTAAAGTTGCTGGGCAATAGCTGCAAAGGTGGACGGAAGAGCTCAAGTTCTTGATATCATGGTTCTTGCTATCATGGCAACAGACAATAAAAGCATGCACACCTTGCCCGATTCCAAGAGTGCTTTTGACACTTTCTTTAAAAAAAGAGGTACCGGTTACATTAAACTGCTTCAGCTTTAACTTTCAGGGTTAATATAAATCAGATCTGGTATGACAGCATCCTATAATAATGAAAGAGTAGTTAGGCTATAGAACTTCAGTATGGTACGGCCCATAAATATAAGTTAAAAGGGTCATCTAATGGCTGAAAATTTGAAATTTGCATTGTTTGGTTTTGCAACTGGCCTTCTCAGATTAGAATTGCACTGGACCTTTGAAGCATTTGGTAAGCTAAGACTTTGGGGGTTTTCTGCATATATTTATTAAAAATTTTGATTATTCAAACCTCTGTTTTTATTTGCATTGTTAAAAGTAGATCTCTGTCACTGGAGCATCTGGATGTTGGTCTTCATGCATTCTTCTGGTCATTGTGATGAATTTTAGTCCTACATTAATTTAAACGGCTTGCCAGACTTCCCCAACCTGCCTATTTGCAGAGGCAGTGGAGCTGCCATCATCCCCAACCAACATGACCGTTGCCTACTTTGGCTGGGGAAGGTGGGAGTTGTAGTTCAACACAGCTGGAGGACAGCAGACACTCAGAGGCTGCCTTATGCAATGCTAGTAACTTTTAAAAAATGTATTTTCTGCCTGCCTTCAACTCACCTAAAGTAAATACATTTTAATATTCTTCTTTATTTAAAGGAGAAGGTAATGAAGAAATCAGTAACATGATTCATAATTACATCAAGGAAATTGAGGACCTCAGGTATAATTTGTTTGCTCTCAATCATAATTTTGGCTCACTGTTTTTCTTTTTAGGATGTAGAAACTAGGGTTGGGATGAACCGTTTTGAAATCTGTCCTTCCATGGACTTCATCTCATGCTCAACTTGTCCCACAAAGTGAGCTGAGTTGGGAGGAAGTCCACAAATGCTTGCAGACCGCCCCCCCCCACCACACACACACAGTTTCACAACCAGCAACCTGTCCACCTGTTACTGCCTCTGTTCTTCCATACTGTTGCCCCTGCCACCAGCAGTAGCAAGCAGTGAAGGTCAGCTCCACAAATAGCGCCTGGTGCACATGCTTACAGAGTTGTTCTCCTGCGCTACCACCATACCAGGTGGGGAAGAAAGTCACTGAGCATGTACGCCAGGCACCATTTGCAGCAATCAGTCTCCCTCCCCATCTGCTACAGCTGGCATCAGCAGTGGTGTGGGACTCTGTTTATTTTTTTAATTCCATTTCTATGCCACCCCATAGCCTGAAGGTTATTTCTGGTGAGTGTGCCAGAAATGCTGAGAACACTGTCAAGGAACTTAGGACTCTGTGCTGCTGCAAAGTAGACCACAGTCTGGGGAGCCAAGCTAAGGAAATCTGACAAATTCCCACTCCCAAAGCAGATTCCTTGTACATCAGCAACAGAAACGTCTGTCTGTGTATAGCTCCATCAGCCTTTGTGGTAGAAAGGCAGTACCTTTCTGTATAAACGTGGAAGGTGCCTTGGAACTGTGTATACGTGTGTGTGAACATGACTGCAGTTTAACATTATGTCCAAAACAGATGCACGGTTGTTACTCTTAATTGTAATTTATTGGAAAAAAGCTAACTGTGGTTTACGAGTTAGCTGATTCCGATTAGCCACAGTTAGAACGAACAATAGTTTGGGTTACAGATTTAACTGCTAAACTGCAAAAGAAGCCATAGTTTCTCATCTTCTCATAATTATATCTTAAAGGAGATTGGTGAGCCCATAGTTTAGTGCTGTGTCTAAATCATATGCATGTGCATATACAATTTCCCTTACTGAACACTCTCAATAGCTAATAAATATTCTTGCCCAGTGAGCTTAAGTTTTGCTGAAATACATCAGAATTATGGTAAGAGGCAAAATCCCTCCGGGTTGATAAAACAACCATGATAATAATTCACTGCAGTACAGTTACTTTGATATCTGCATACCTATGCCATCCTGGGAACCCATTTTAGTTAATTTTCACTAATATATTCATGTACAGCAGTTGGCTAGAAACTTTAAATATTTTGTTATAAAATAGTTATCAAAAACATGCATTTAAAAATTTCTGTTCTGTTTTCAATAAATCTTGGTGTCTAGAGCAAAACTACTGGAAAGTGAATCAGTGAATGAAAATCTTCGGCGCAACTTGTCTAGAGCTTCAACAAGAGGAACATTTTTTAGTGGCCCCTCAGCATTTTCTGCTTCAATGCTTGGCTCTGATAAAGAGACAGTTGAAATAATTGATCTAGCTAAAAAAGACTTAGAAAAACTGAAGAAAAAAGAGAAGAAGAAGAAGAAGAGGTACCACTTAAAACTGTATTTGCATAGAATACTGTCTGTTCTAACTAGAGAGTTGTAATTTGTATCATGATACATGAATCCTGCAAACACATTACAATAAGCAAAATAATGAATCATAGATACATTTTTATTTGGAAGGTAATGTTGAACTATTTTGAAATGTGACTCTTGAACCTGTTTTAAGAAAAAATAGCATGTGAGCATCTCATCTTTGAATGTTAGTTAGAAGATACCAACGCACAGGGTAATTACTTGGCCTGGAAAATTTAGTAGCTGTTAAAGGATTTTTTTCATCATGCTTAGAATGGCTTCTTTTGCTTTCTTCATATATATCTTTTGCCTGCCATGCTATATTGCTTATTACACCCTTGCATTTTTGTTTCTGTTTAGCTGTCTTAATTTATTTTACAGTTGAGATTTCCTACTGGTCCACATGAATGTGTTTAATTTAAAAGGCAGGTGTGTGGAAATAGCAGCCTAAAATGAAAGCTGCCTTGACAGAGTTGAAAGGAAAGGGAAAGGCCAAACTATGCCATAATTTAGCTCTGATTGATGTTTGAGATAATATTTTAGGCACTTTCTGGACCATCCCACTTGCATTCCCAATTTGTTTGTCATACTAGGATGCTGTTAAATCTAGTGATTCAGCTTGTTCGGATCAGAGCAGTAGGTTGTGAGGAAGCATTCTTCATCCCAGAAAACGAACATTCTTGTCTGGAGTGTGTGTGCATGTGTGTGTAAAAATCCATAATAAATTTAAGTAAAATAGAATGCATATTTAAGTAATACAAAACCTAGTAATACTCTCAAGGAACATAAAGCATCCATCAAGTTGAAGCTAAGCAGGACGAACTGGCCTGAGCTTGGAGGGGAGATGACTCGGAAACCACCTGTCACCACCTTGAGTTCCACAATGGGAGAAATGTAGGATATAAATATATTGAATAAATAAATAAATAATAGACTCTTGTAACAGGGTGGAGTTGAGATGAAGACAGGAAGACACAATTATTTACTTGCATCTAAGCAATAATTGCATATTATTTCTATCTGGGTCCAGAAATGAGGCTACAGATTTAAGAGGAGAATGGGCAGAAAGATGGCCTTTCTATCTTCCCCTGAAATATTTTCCTATGTGTATAATTATTAGTGCTGTATATGTAGAAGGTGACATAATGCCAGTTGGTAATTTTATTTTGGCAAAGGTGGACAGACAAGCCTCAGAAGTAGTGTGATGAAGGGCATAGGTATGGGAATATTCACTGAGCAGTACAGAGGTTAGACCCATGTTTCTGAATTATTTGCACTCCTTTTTAAAAATAAAGTTGACTATTATAGACAGTTCCTCAAAATCACAAGCAAAAAAGCCAGTCTGGAGAACTGGATAGTTGATGCCATCTATCATAAAATAAGCACTTTCATTATAGGATAAAATGTTGTCCAAATCTGTAGTATTTAATGGACCTGTTAAGATAGTTCAGAAGGAACTTCACCCTTACTTGGCTAATTCAAATTCTTATGTTTAAGATCTGTAGCATTGTCTTTGGTTACTACATTTTCCATTAATTACTATCCTCAGTTGGTTCAGTGCCATATAATATTAATTTCCGTGGCCTCAAACTTTGACAAAAATAATGCACATGTCTGTCTGCTACTTCTGTGCAATTCTCATTAAGCATAGGCATGGGTGTTTCCTTCTTTTTATTGCATCTGAAGTGTGCTTTTTGTTTTTGTTTTCTAACAAACAATAATTCTTATACATTGAATTCTATAGTTTTACTCTAATATTACAAAAATATAGATTCAGAGTTTTCACATTTTTAATATGAAATAAGGCTTTTTAAAGGTATTTTAAAAATCTCTGCAGGTTGTCATCTCCATCCTTGGCCAATAAGGCATTTTAGTATTTATTTTGCCCTTTTAACCTGGCAGCCATGTGTACTTATTAATAAGGTTTAAGGCTAACATTTCTGAAATGGAAAATGTGTAAGCTATTCTATCGAGATTTCTTACAGAGAACTGAAAGGAAACACCTAACCTTTAAATCATTAAAAATTATAAACAAACATATGACCAAAATTAAAAAACACAGACCCTTTTTACAGTATGTAATACCTACCTACCTACCTATCAATCATTTATCTATCTTGTTTTTCTTCAAGGAGCTCAGAACATCTTGTTCCTAAGCAAGACATTCTTAGTTTTAACAGTAGAACTTTTAGCTTTTAGACCACTCTGTGGAGATAAGGGGAAAAGTGTGTTTAGATGTTACACTAAGCCATAGTTTAATATTATGGGAAGGAAACCATCCTTCCCCTAGGCTTGCAGGGACTTTCATTCCTTCTTCTCTTTTGCACATCCATAAGAATGAGATTGGAAAGTTGTGCTTCTGTTTTAGATTAGCCATCATTTAGCTGAACCCTAAACTGTGGTTAGCATGAACCACTGCAAGTGAAACAAATTAACTTCATAAACTATTGCTGAAGTTGGCCTGTTTCCTCCAACCATGGTTAAATTTCTGTCAGGGTTCAGATGATAAAGTAAGCTATAATTTATCAAAGTGGGAATGAAAGCTTATGCATTCCTTGTGGCTGTGTTAGAGGATGTGAGAGTGTACAAGACTGTAATTACATTTATTAATATTAAATATTAATATAATATTAAACATTAATGATTTATAATATTAAACTGCAATTTGGTATTATATCTAAACAGTCCAGTGATAGGGAGAAGCCAGCATTGATATTTTGTTAAAACTGAATGGTCATCATCTGGCTTCTTCACCTTGAAAATATATGGCTGGCTGGGGAGAAAAGGAAATTTTGTTAGGTTCTTATTTTAATACAAATCTACCTAATTTGAACTTCCTAACCAGCATGCAAACTGAAACATAGTTTATACTTCTCTGAATTTTGTGGAATAGTTACTCAATTTTAAAAAAGTAAGGATGAGTGGGCAAAAATGTGCCTATTACGGAAAAGAACATACCAAATAGATTATATTAGGGAAAATTGTTCACAAAAATGAATATATAAGACAATCTCATACAGAGATGTCTATCAGGAGATATTAGCACGAAAATATGTACAGTTTTTTATGCAGACTTTAATAAATCACAAAGTAGTATTGGTCAGATGGAAGTTAAAATTGAAAAAAAGAGAAATGGAGAGAAACCGAAATTAGTAGATTTGTCAGTTCCAGAGACACAGCAACACTGAGACACCTTCCAGAGCAGCTGCCATTAGTTTAAATGGTTCCTGGGGAGGAAATCTTCCCGGTATGCCACAACCCTTTGTTTTGTGTTGATTCTCCAGCTACAAAGAATGTACTGCCTTTTACTATTTATGATCTTTTGACAGTGTTTTCTTTAAAAAGAGGGAGAGAAATCCACAAGCTCATATGTCATCTTTTTTTTTTTTTACCTTCTTGTTGCCCTTGCTTTTCACTGTCTGGTTTGTCCTTCATTGGCTTGGCCTTCCAATACTTCGTGCTTTTGAAGGCTGCAGAAACTTGAGGAAAGCACTCAGGAAGAAAGAAGGTTGGAATGTTTCCCAGGTTTTTAATTAAACTGTCCTTGAAAAACAAAAATTAAAATTTGGCCACATGTAAACAAATTGTTCTACAACAAGTTTCATCATGTGATACATATCTATACCTGTAGATATATCTATTTCTTTCAATTGTTACACACATTCCCCTTCTAAAAGGGAAAAGCACCAAATTAAGCTTTGATGCAAACATCTGGGTTTGAGCCTAACCAGAGCAGTTTAAAGGGGCTGGGTGTAAATTTAAAAGTGCTGTCAAGACCAAAACATAATCTTGATGTAATCAAGTAATTCTGACTATATCTAAAGTGATCTTTTTCTCTCTGGTCTCAATTCAGGGAGTTAAGTTTGAACTTAACCTTTTCTTTACTTACCTAATTTGAAGATGTGTTTCCATAGGAGCCTCCAACTGCATATATAATACAGGCATTGGTTCAGATCCAGTGTAATATGAGCTTTCCCATTTTCTCTTCCTCCTTATAGTCCCCTGCCTCCTCCCAAAATCTCCTCGTGAGGACTCGAGGACCTTCCAGAATGGAGTAGGATATGCATTAGAAATTGCACTTAGGCTGCTGTTCTTTGTTCCCATTTTTTGTTTCGTGCACAAGAGTTTACTGCTAGTTTTGTAATAAATTGGAAATGCAGGAAGAAACCTATAAAAAGAGGGTACTCTGTTCGATTATTTAACAGCTTGCTCCTGTGTGTCATGGTATTGCCTACCATGTGAAACATCAGTTCATTCATGTTGAGTTCCTGCCTGTCATGCAACTATTAAAGCTTTAGGAACTCTGCAAGAAATAAGTGGCAAGCATGTTTTGTTGTTTGTGGAGATTGTAGGACCAGAATTAGCACACTGAAGTATCCACAAAAGTTCATGTGTACAAGCCAAATCCCACAGTTGTGTTGTTGATGGGAATGTGATTTTGATTAGAACTAATTTAAGACAAGGATGCATCTGTTATTCTAGATATAAAGTACAGTGAACAAAAGCATTGTTTTTCCATGATTTCAGTTGGATGCATAGATAGAAGATTCCAGCCTAAGGACTATAGTATAGATCAGTGATGGCAAACCTATGGCACACATGGCCAAAGGGGCAAGCAGAGCCCTCTCTGTTGGCAAGCAATTGCCCCAGCAGCCATGCGCATATTCAGAAAGATTAAGGGTGCCAGGCAACAGCATCACTCATTAGCCCTGACTCCCCGAGCTTTTGCATGGCTGGTCAGTGAGCTGCCAGGGATTTTCTTCGAATGTGATTTTAGCAGAAGGTAGGAAAGGTAGGAAATACACTCAGGTAGGAAATACATGCAGATACCTTTTTCAGGGCCGGTCAAAAGCTGGTGGTAAGTGGAACGTTGCCCCCTTGTGCTGGTGGTCACCAAATTCAGGTTTTATTGCAGTGTTGGCACTTTGTGATAAATAAGTGGGTTCTGAGTTGCAGTTTGGGCACTCGGCCTCTAAAAGGTTCTCCATGACTGGTATAGATGCTTCACAAGCACATAGAACTCAAAGACCTGCACAAATACTTTAAAGTTTTACATAACCTGACTGAAATTTACTGGCAAAATATACTAATAAATATAAATGAATTATAAATACTTATAAAATTCAATGAGTAAATATAAATATAACTGAAAGATATAACTTGTTTTAAAGAAACCATGTCTACAATAAAAGTAAAACAGAGGGAAATTATTTCTTTGAACAGTACTTTATTTGGCATTTCTGAATTCTCCAAAGTACTTCCATTTTTCACCAAGCCTTTGAAATGTTTTATACCCTCACAATTTCAAATATATAGTATGAACTTATTTAACATATACAGGTGATGAAGTTTCTTCTGTTACTTCCTCATGCTTGGAAGATTTAAAGGCTTCCAACATTAATTTTATGACAACTTTGCAATCCCAAACAAATTAAAACAGAAATGCCTCATTTGTAGACATTGCTCCATGAAAAGGTTAGTAGACTATTTATTTAAAACATTTATATGCTGTCCTTTACGACAACATCTCAGGACAGCTTACAACATTAAAACTGAGTAAAAGCAATAAAAACAATCCATAGACAATAACAACTCCAGACTATGTGTGGAGTTGATTAGTAAACTTATCTTAAACTGTTTTACTGAGCATAACATTACAAAACCTTCACCACATTCATGTGCCATTGCTTTTGGAAGAAAGGTAAATAAATTACATTTATTTATTATCTGTGTCCAGGGACTTGTTGCTTAATTACATCTTCAAGTACAGTGAACCTCAATCATAATTAGCCTTCATTTGCAGATTGGAACTTAAAAGCCACCTTTGCAGTTTAAACATCTCTCTATATTTTGATATGCTGGATATGCTAGGCTCTTTGGTTTTGGTGGCCAAAGATGAGATGCGTGAAGGTTGAATATTTGTTATCTGTTCCACGTACTTAAGCCTAAATAGGAGACAGTATGAGACATTTTCAGGATATGCTGTATTGCTTCATTGGCTAGAGTAACTGTTGACAAAATAGATGGAAATATAATAAGTATATAGTACTTATACTTTTGGACTAATAAGTAGTTCTGTAATTAATTGGGGATTCCTCGGTGACGGGAAGAACTGAATTCTGTACTGATCACTTGTATGATCATCCATGTTTTGAGAATGATAAGATGAAATAGGACAATGGAAGGAAGTGAGGTGCAGAATATTGGGTGGTCAGTAACAAAATATAGGGGCACAAGCCATCCTAGATCTGGAATCAAAACACCCGTTTTACTTTTGAGGCTATAAATTTTAGAGCCATGATATTCCCTGCTAGCTGTAGCAGGAAAGTAACTTCCTGGATTTATGACTGATGGACACATGGAAACTGACCTAAAGCAATTTGTGTAGGAACTCAACCTATTGAAAAAATACTACCTTTTACTAGCCTAAATATTTGCAGTCTTTTTGCGCTAGCAATAATTATATGGTGTAGCTGCATTCTTGCATGTAACTGCATCCTTATTATGATTTTATATTCAGAGGATCCAAACACTACATTTGGAAAGTGTTTAGGTTTCATCTTCTCTTCCCCTGTATCACCAAAAGCAGTCCTTTTTGGAATAGACGGAGTGGATCCTAAACCAAGGGAGTAATAACCCTTACATGGAGTTGGAAAATTTGAGTAGCTGCTGAGCCTCTGCCACTTTATTTGCTTTCTGTGTAGATTACTTCAGCTCAGTGAATGTTGTAAACTTTTTGTCTTATTCAAGAGGCACCTCTAGAACGTGCTGCCCTTTGTTCCTGTTCTTGGTTTGTAGCATATTTACAATTATTATGAATCATTTCTATAAGTGTACTTGACACTTATTTCTGTTTGACATTTGTCTTGTGACCTTAGGCCGGCCTGATAAATTTATGTTGACATTTTTCTTTCCCCACTGCACCCCCATTATTAAAATGATGGGTAAAACTGACTTGGAAATGTCCAATTAAAACATTAAACAAATTTTAAATATAAGAATCTTAAAATTTTATTCTTCTTCACATTTTTCAAGCCCCATTGCATAGGCAGTTCATCTAAGAGCCACATGCATGCACTAGCCACTGTATCTGGGTCAATTTTTGGAACAACCCATAAATAGTACAGGAGTTGCTCATGCAGGAATGAAGATGCAATCCCAAGCACACGTTCTTGGGATTCAGCCCATTCACTTCTGCCTAGGATTTTATTGCACTGCTTATGCCTATATTTCTCAATGTCCTATTGTTATGTTTCTCAGTAGTTCCTCTACAAAAGTCATTGACATGTCTTTATGGCAAAGGAGGAAATGATTAGGATCTAAAGGTTAAGGTTTTCTTGGCATCTTTCCTCCTGCTCCTTAAAGAAGCTTTTCTGTGGATGATACATAAGTATTTTATGTGCAGGTCTATGACTTTTGATAACTCTTTTTCAAAGTGGCTTCTGCGAGTCCAGCTTGTCTTTACCCCCAGCTTATCTTTAAGCTGCTCTGGCTTGATGTGAACAGAAATGCTATATAGTTCTCTAGACTAGAGCATTTCTGATGGGTCCACTTGGGTCTTTATAGAAGCTCTTTAATGCAGTCCCTTCTGCCGTTTGTGGGTCACCACCCTAACCTTTCACTTTGCTTCTGAATCTCTAGAATGCAGTTTTATGCATGGGGTTGGGGGAAATTTTGGGGATATTTATGACTTTCCTTACTATTTCCTAACTATTGATCTTGCAGAAAGCAGTGTGAATAGAATAACCCAAACTTTGAATGCTATGACATCTCCTCTTT